AGGGGCCCAGGGGCACAGAGGTAAGGAATGTAGCTTCTGGTTATAAAAGCTGCAGATCCAAGGTAACTCTGTTTTGTATCCCAGAGGGAGATAGCACCCTGGTGGGACACTGGGATCACCTTCAGGGAAATCAGCCTTCCCAGCCTTCCTGGAATAGCTGGGAGACAGATGGAATACCGGAAGCCGGATGCTTCTTTAAAGCTTTGTTCAGTACTGTAACATTATATTTTTCCATCTATTTTTGGAGATTATTCAGCCTCAGTTAAATATAGTTATCTCCCAACATAAGTTCTTAGGTTTTTTGATTTTAAATAATATCGAACATTTATTTCACATTTTTTACTTTTCTTTCTACCTTCAACTTTATTAATTCAGTTCATCTTTGCATTATTGCCACAAGATACATAGGGCAAATGTCACTAGGCCCATTTTACCAAGGAGCAAACTGAGTCTTGAAAAGATTGTGATAAGACCACAAGTTTGATGAAGTGGGAATAGAGGTAGAGCTTGTATATTTTTAGACCATTTCTCACTCTGAAACATCATCTTGACCATCTCCTCAGAATTCATTCTAGTGTTTTCTGAGTTCTTGTTGCCAACCAACAATGTGCTGAGGATTCACTGTTGAATAATAAAGACTTATCTTTGAAGAGAAACTTAGAAAAGTGTTGAAGACAAACAAGAAGTCAGGCAATTGTTTAAGATGTGATAGGTGAACGTGCAGCGATAAGGACACAGGTGTTTCTAATCTAGACAATCTGTCAGGTCAGCTGGTCCATGGGTCTGGTCCCATATGGTCAATCTAAGGTCCTGGAGGTGAAGAACAGTAAGCTCCTTGATAAGCAGAGCAGTGGACTGCTTGAATCCCAGGTAATGAATAAGTGAGGATGGCAGGAAAAGTTTTGTAAGAACAGGCTATAGTTTCTAGATTCAACCCAGGCAAAGGATAGCCTGAAGGAAAAGAAAACTAGATGGATACCCAAGGCCCAAAAGGGCCTAGGAAAAGAGAAATTCTAGTCCTTCTCTAGACAAAGGAAGAGAACCACACTGATAATCACACCAGGGGTGTTAGGGGCAGACATACCCAGTCTTCACATTACCATATCCAATAGCTGAATCAGGGAGTTAATTATGGCTTTGTACTACTGGAGCCCACATTCCTGAGGCTTTTATGAACACACACACACACACACACACACACACACACACACACACATAAACACACACTATTCCATCACTCTCCCCACTCCTTACTTCCTTACCTCCACCCCCACTCTCAACACACCCTACTTTATCTCTGATGTATCCCTTGCACAGGGTGTTTCTGTTGTTTTTATGCTGCATCCCAGTTCCACCCTGCACACATCCACTAACACACTGACCACACCCTTTGCCTAATCAGTCATTATAGAAGAACTGTATGTCAAGTCCAACCTTCTACCTAGAATGCTTCTGACAGAGATCACAGTATGTCAGTACTGAAGATGATCCTTAAAGATATCTTATCAAAATTACCCACTTTGCAGGTAAGAAAACTGAGGGCTGGCCAGAGTCATGGTTTTTCAAAAAACATATAAAGAGCCAGTGGTAGAACCAGAGCCAGGAGCTGTCCTGAAGCTCCTTTTGCCCCTCCCTATAATTCACATCTAAAGACACAAAGATGAGATGAATGGTCTGGAGCCCAATTGACCCCTGACTCTACCTCCCAGGAATCCATCTTTTCTGGGATGTTTGCTTTATGTTAACCGTTCATCAAATATTTCTGGGAAACTTCTCCCATCATGGAGATAGAGGTACAGCATACTTACTGACCCCAGGGAGCTCACAACTTAAAGAAAGATAAACCTGCAGTCACAGTCACAAGCAAACATCTACATGCTGTGTCAGTGGAGGGGGATGCAGGGAAAAGCATGGGGCTGAAAGAAGAGTCACCACCCCACCTGGATGATCAGAGAAGGAATTGTTAGGGGGTAAGGATGTCCTGAGCTAATCCCGTGCAGGCTTTGTGGACTCCACCCCCACTCTAGACCAAAGCCTTCAAGACATTGGGAAAGACAAATCCCATCACCACCAAAGGGAAGGTTGCTGGGATCTGAGGGTGGAGTTAAGCAGCCAGGTTTGGTATAAAAACCAGACACGTGGGCCTTGGGGTGGCTCTCGCCTCTTGGCTTCACGGCTCTTGGCTCACCGCCAGCTCTCAGAGTGCCATTTGGGATTCCAGGTCGGCAATGGGTAGGATGCATTTAAGACTTTATCTCCCTTTTTTTCTCCCTGAGTTGTACATTTCCTCATTTCCCCTTCCCTTGTAAATAAACCTTTCATTAATCTTTTGTGTGTGCCTGTAGTGGAGTATTAATAAGTCCCTTTTAAGCACACGGATGAAGACCCACAGTCAGGCAACCCGTTTTATATCAGGGCTGCCCTGTAACAGTGTGAGTACAGGTTGCACTTTAGGTCTCAATTTTTTTAAAGGAGAGAAAGGCTTCTCAAACTAAGTGATAAGTATATATGAAGATGGAAAAAAAAGAGGTGATATTCAGAGAAGGTTGAGTAGCCTCTGGGGTTGACACATAAAAAGTCACAGTATTATTTTTTTAAGAACTACCAAGTGTGGGCCTCTCTGGTGGCGCAGCGGTTGAGCGCTGGGTTGCAAAGCTGCCCACAGCCTCTGCAGCACCAGCCAGCTGCGAGGGTCCTGCATGGCACGCAGACCTCTCCAGGCACCCGCTGCTCCCCCCAGCAGTGTACTTCGTCATTCTGCCTGCTCTGCTCTCCACTCTGGCTCTGGTGAATTCTCTCACCCTCCTGCGCTTCTGACTGTTCCCATTGCTTGTATAAATAAATAAATAAATCATTAAAAAAAAAAAAAAGAACTACCAAGTGATGTCAGGAATTCTCACTTAACCCTCAAAGCAAATCTATAAACCAGGAATTCATTTGTTTAACAAGTATTTATTGAGTGCAAACTATGGGCCATTTCTAGGTGTTGAGGACACTTCTGTGAACAAAACAGACCAAGTTGCTTAACAATGAACAAAAGAGAACAAGTCCTTTCCCTCAGGGAGTTTACATTGTGGAAACTGTTACCCCATTTTATAAATGAATGAATTAGGACATAAGGAAGCTAAGGTATTGACTCAGGGTCACACAGAGCCTATTTGTGCTCTTAAATCCCATGCTGTGCTGCCTTCCAGGCAGCCTGGAATTGAGAATCAGAGTGTTTTAGGATCAATACCTGGGGTGGTAAAGGTCCCTTCAGGGCTTTGAACAGGGGAGTGACAGAATGTGGCTGCTCCCCTTTGTGCTGTCTTCCCCAGTTCCACTTATAATCAAAGGTCAGTCACCTTAATCTTCCCCTGTCCTCACACAGACACCATTTATGGCAGAGGCTGACTGACACTGGGGAGAGCCATGCCTGATTTTAGTGGATTTGCCTCAGTGCACCCCCAGGACCTGAGCCTCATGAACATTTGGCACCCCACTCACTGAACTGGTCCTTTGTCAGACCAAAGCTTGTAAGCTTCGTCCCTCTGCTACCTGGGTTGCTAGAAGTTGAAAGTGAGGGTGGTAGAGAAAATAATAGTGTTAGCAAGAACTAGGTGAGATGAATAGCTATAAACTTGAAACACGCCTTAGCTTTCACCTGAAACTCAGTCTCTGGGAGGGAACTGGGAAAGTTTGCCTTTGAAATGTCTTGGGAGTGGGAATGTCCCTGCTCGGGGCTCAGGTCTGCAATCCTGGCATGGGGAAGCTCTGCCCCCTAGGCTGCTGGATTTTTTTTTTTTGTATATTTTTTTACATCATTTTTCATTTTTGCACAATGTATGCATTTTCATCTTGATTATATTCCCCACACAATTCCCACCCCCCTTATTTTGACCCTAATCCCCCTCACCCCCCCAGTGTGTTTCTAGTTTATAGATGCTTGTTGATTTTGATTTTTACTTTATTATAATTAGTCTTTTTCCTGGTCTCTTATTTAGGTTTTCTAAATTCCTGCTATGAGTGAGACCATCCGGTATATTTCTTTTTCTTTCTGGCTTATTTCACTGAACATGATCCCTTCCAGCTCCATCCATGTTGCAAACTGGTCCAACCACTATGGAGAGCTGTGTGGAGATTCCTCAACCTGCTAAAGATGGAGCTTCCATATGATCCAGCAATTCCACTCCTAGGTATTTACCCAAAGGACACAAAATCATGAATTCAAAAGGGCACCTGCACCCCTATGTTTATAGCAGCACTATTTACAACAGCTAAGCTATGGAAACAACCCAAATGCCCAAATGCCCAAAAATAGATGACTAGATCAAGAAGATGTGGTACATATACACAATGGAATATTACCCAGCAATCAAAAAAGATAAACTCATGCAATTTGCAGCTGCTGGATTTTTGATCCTAGAAACCATCCTTTCTGCCGGCGTGGGGGTTGGAGGGGGTTATAACACTGGGCAAAAGAAACCAGTAAGAAGAAGGGGTGACAAAGAACGGGGAACTCTGGGGAAAAGGAGAGTGAGAGGGAAAGGTTAAAGGAAAAAAAATAAAAACCTAAGGAGTAAGAACAGAGTAAACGCAATGGAGAGAAAGATTGGACAGTCAGAGGAAGGCAAGAGGAGGGAGAGACAGGCTGAGCAGCCAGGGCAGTCCGTCAGGGTCCGCTGGAAGTGAAAGCAGAGAGACGGAGCCTGGACCCCGCTCGGCCCGGGCCAATGGAGCGCAGCAGCCAGGAGGTCGCGAGCAGCCCAAGCTGTCAGCCGGGAACAAAGGCCTCGGAGCGGCAGGGACCAGGCTTAGGCCGAGCCCCGGCCAATGAGCGGCGCCGGTGGTGGCCCCGCCCACCTATCCCCGCCCCTCCGGCCCCGCCCCGCCCCGCCCTAGCCAATGAGCGGGGCCGCGCTGGCCCCGCCTCGCCCTCCTGCCCCGCCCGCGGCTCGGGACCCGCGCAGAGGCCGGCGCGCCAGGAGCGGGCGGGCTGGCTGGCTGCGGACCGGCGCCGAGGCCGAAAGTTTCTCTGCCCGCCTCGCCCTGCGAGTCCGACCCGGGAGGGGCCGGGGCGCCGCGGCACCCACCTGGCCCGCCAGCTCTGGAGAGGAGACAGGAATGCAGCGCCAGACACACTGAGAAATAAATTCCCAAGTCAGCCCGAGGCGCCGGGGGCCAGGTAAGGTGCGGTGGACGACGAGCCTGCTCCCTCCTGAGTGTCTGCCGCCCGGGCACCCGCGCCCACGCTCCGGGCAGGCTGCGCTCCCCGTGGCGTGCGGTGCGTCCGCGAGTCTGTCGGTCTTTGTCTGTGTCAGAGTCTCTCTAGGTGTCTTTGTCTCTGCATGTAACTGTTAGGGTCCCCCCCTCTGCGGGGTGGGTGCTGATGATCGGGTGGGTGCCGGCACCCGGGAAGGCTGGTGCTTCTGTCCTTCTGTCTTTGTCTGTCTCCTGCAGATGAGGTTTTTCTGCTCGCAGCCCCGATGGGTCTGGATGGATATAACTGTTCGGTGACACTGATGAGCAGGGGGTGTGCGTGAAGCCAGAGTGGTCCTGGTGCCAGACAGAGGGTCTGACAGCTGGGGGTCTGGCCACTGAACTTTGCCGGCAGCAACTTTGGAAACCGGCCATGTCCACAGTGGTGGTGAGGACACAGATGCAGTTAGGGATTGGGAATGTTTCACTGACAGAATGTGTTACAGCAGATGAGGTAGCAGGGGATAATGAACCGGAGTATTTAACTGGCCCCCTGGAGCTGCAGTCTTCAGGGTCAGCCATAGATACACAATTCAGTCAGAGCAACACACACACCCTTTGCATGCTTAACTCCGGCTTTTAGCACTCACAACTCGGTAGCAATAGGCAATGAAACACCAAGGGGCAGGTGATGTTTCTCATTCCTGCTTAATTCCTGGAAAGGATTGAATTGTCCAGGTAATGAGTGTTCTGCTTGCTCAGGAGTATGTCAGGCCTAGGAAAGTGCTCCAGACTTGTTAGCCCTCAATGTCCCAAAAACAAGGAATGCTTAGGGAGCTGAGCATCTAAGATTCTGGATCCTTCCTCTTCCATTCTAGTCACACCTCCTTGGCCATCAGCCCTTCTGCTCTGGTCTTGGGTGCTGGCAAACTAGTAGGGAGGCCCTGAGTTCTAGAGAGGTCCTGGCAGGATAAGGGTCCTGTACCAGATAAGGGTCTCCTGCTCTGTTGGAAGTGAAGCCTAATTGTAATCGTGGGCGCCCAGCCACAGAGATGAGCTGTCTGCTTGGCAATCATTCCTACACCAGAGACCCTGGAGAAGAGTCTGTGGGTAAGGCTAAGAGAATGTTTGTATCCCGAGCTTCCTCTAAGTTCAAAAACAATTTTCTCTGAGTATGATGGGGAAAATGAAAGTGTTGAGAATGTATGTGTGTGTGTGTGTGTATATATATATGTGTGTACACACATGAAAATGGGTGTTAGAGTGAGCATTATAGAAGGGAAGGGTGTTTGTGTTCGAGGGTGGAGAAGAACAGAGTGTGGGTGGAAGTCTGTGGGCAGAGGCATACACACTAATCAGGCGGGGCATTTACACCTTGTATTTATCCAGCGCCTTTCTTCTGAGGTGCTTTCTGCACATCACAGACGTTATCTCATTTGCTATCTCCTTTAGCTTCACAACATAACTACTGGGTTGGCGTGAAGCAAGGTTAACTCTCTGTTCTACCAGTGAAGAAGCCAAGGCCCCAGAAGGGTGCCGTCATCCAGCTAATAGGAGCAAAAGTAGACTTAGAAGCAGGGTGTTCAGGTGTGAGGCCTCAGCTAGGTAGATGTGAGTATGGGGCACTCACTCTGCTTGAGGTGAGAAGAAAATCAGGCGGAAAAAGTAGGGTGTCTCTCCAAGGTTTCTCTGAGTGAGCAAGAAGGGAGATGGGACATTTGAGATAATTGTTGTTTAATATTCATAGTAGCCTCGTGAAGTAAAACCTATTCCTACAACTCAGTTTGTGCATTGTATGTCTGCAGGTAGTGCCTGCATCTGTCTGTATGTGCTCCAGTAGATGTGTGTCGGGATGGCCACCGTGTTATGTGTGCTGGGAGATCCAGCGTAGTGGGAGTATGTGAGGGACAGATTTGCCAGGCAGTTTTGGGAAGCATACGTCTGCCTGTATGGGTGAAGTGGTAGATGGACTCCTGCGGCATTAAAACAGCTTTCTAATTCTGGAAACTTATTTATATACCTTTGCACTTATTCAGCATTTATTTAATAAATATTCATTGATTGCCTACAATGTACAAGGCTCTGGGAAAGGCAGTAAGACCACAAAGATGAATAAGGTAATGCTGGCAAACCTATGATTAAGCAGCTTATAGACTAGTGTAATGGGTAATATTTAACAACATTTAATGCCACTTACTAAGTGCACTGTGTGCCCAGTACATTTTATTCATTATCTCATTTAATTCTCAGTGCAACCCTGCAGGGTATTTATGATTATATTACATACAAGGAGGTTAATAATACAGCTGGGATATAAAATGGAGCAAGATTTGAACTCAACCCATGTCAGCCCTTGGTTCTTTCCACTGTCTTTTGCTACCTTTGGACATAGAAATACAGGTTTTTGTGTACAATATTCTTGCCCTAATCCCCTCTTCCATCTAACTAGCTCCTGCTTACCATAAGGACCAACTCTTCCAAGAAACCTTCCCCTCTCCTTTTCTTAATTTTAAACTGGGTCACATGCCTTCCTCTGAGCCCTACTATCAGTCCGTGCTGGTCCCTTTACCTACTGGCTCCCGAAGACTTGCTAGACACAGAAAGTATGTCTGACTTCCCGGTTTAGAATAAAGTGTTTAGTTACTAGGAGTGGCCCTTGGCAAGTGCTGTTTAATAAAGTGATGGGAAGGAAAAGAGCTGTCAGAGAGCTTTTACACGGAGCACTTTTTCTACCAGTGGGTTTCTGCGGGGGCAGACTTTGCTGATGTGGTCTCTGACTTTCCTGGCCCTATTATTGGGCTGTCCATCCCAGTTCCTGTCTCTCTTGACGCGGGAGCTTAAGGAAAACCTAGCCCACCCTGTCAACCTATGCACTCTCTCTAGGTCAACCCACTGACAGGTACAATTATGCAAATGGGAGGCACAGGTCATGACCTAGACTTGGGGTTTTTAAATCTTGCACCAGGAACCCCTAGGGCCAGGGCAATGATGAGATCTTTCTGGGGTTTTGCCAATAAAGAAGTCTCCAATGACCTTGGGTATCTTTAAGTGATTCATGTTAGGCCTTTGAGTTATTGAATAGATCTTTGTGCTGCTGTAGTTTGGAAATCTTAAGTGGACACTTGGGATGGTGAATTGCTGCAGTGTTTGGGGAGGTGGTAGGACCATGATTTCCCCAAGTCATGATAAGGGTTTGGTGACTCCTTCTCATGCCCTATGCACCACCTCATATCTTCTCTTAGCAGAGTTGCCATATGCCTTCTTAAGGCGGTGATGATTTTAGTTTTCCTTTCAAGTTTGAGTTTAACAAACTTGAGTTTGCTTGACCCGTGGGAGGCACCAAGAAAACGCGGGATTTAAAAAATGGCTAAATAATTATTTGAGACTAACATCTGTGATGAGACTTGGGAAGAAGAACAAGCAAACATGAATCAATGACAAGTGCATTAAAAATTGGTTGAGCTAACTTTGAACACAACATCTGTTCTGGATGAGGGAGGTGAACTAGAAGATGCCAGGGAAGAGGAGCTTGTAAACCAAAGCTTGAACTTGGGCCAAAGTAGGGTATAATGAGATTAGACTTAGCAACAGCCAAGGTCATAGCTCCAAGGTGCTAACTGAGAACGAAGGAGATGGGATTTCTCTTCCAAGGGGAACCCTGGCTAAAGCCTGTCACCTCTTTCTATGCAAGTTGACCCGCCCCAGTAGAGCAGACAGTGGGGAATGAAGGATGGGCAGGAACTCACCTCTTACAGCTGCCTCCAGCGGAGCGGAGATTGCCACGGATCTCCTCCTCCAAGGATTTAGAGAAGTGGAGAAGTAGGTGTCAGCCAAAGTCAAGAAAGTGTGTGTTGGGCTTCCGGGCAGGTGCCCTTTGGCTGGGCAGCTCTGTGTTTGAGGTTTTCATCTGCTTTTCTCACTTTTTTGCTTGGGCCTTGCACCAGCTGGCCTACCCCTTCACTAGGCTCCTTGGAATAGGGATTTTAATAGCCCTTTTCATATGTATGGGAATTTGCACTTTGAAAGAGAATTATTTTTATTGTTGTTATTTACAATTATGTGAAAAGATTTCACCCAAAAAAAAAAAAAAAAGATTAGAAAATTGAGAGAGTCTGTCAGAGTGGATGGAATCTACCCAGTATTTTTTTTTTTTGAAAGTTCAAACTTAGGGTACACTGTAAAGAATCTTATTTATTTATTTATTTATTTAAATTAATATTTTATTTTATATAATTCTTACATCATTTTTCATTTTTGCACAATGTATGCATTTTCATTTTGGTTATATTCCCCATACAATTCCCCCCCCTTATTTTAACCCTAGTCCTTCTTCTCCTCTTTTCTCCCCTCCCTTTACCCAGTATTTTAAATAGAATGCACAGAATTGAATCCAGTCATCCTAACTCCTGATCTGAGGCTATAACCATCCAAACATTGAGTATCATTAATTAAACAAAGTTCACTGAATTGTTGATAAGTGTTTAAAATGCAGGGGGGAAATGCACCCCCCAGTTCCTAAGCGCTTGCTATGCATATACATTCAACTCAACAAGCAATAAACTTGCAAGTATCTAGACTAAGTAGATACTTGGGACTAAACTTGGGACTGCAAGGAATGATATTTGTCACGTCAGTCATTTCCTCATTGCTCGTTATGTCATCAGGTTGGTCCACTCCTTGTTGAGATTATAGTAACTTTTGCCTTCATAGAGTCAGAATTAATGACTTTTCATTGGAATGCCAACCTTATTCCATAATGTATTTCAATGTTTCCACCTTAGCCATAAGCAAGTTCCAAACTAAAACAGGATAGCCAACTCTTTGCCATAACATAATCAGTATTGGAAACCAGACTTAGGAGAGTCTGAAGCTAAATTGCCCCACAGATGAGGAAAGACTTGGGCAAAGTGTAAGTAGGGAAGAAGATTCAGTGGGTAGTGGAGGCCAGGTGGAAGAAAGAGGACAAACCTCTGTGTGTGTGTGTGT